TATTTATAATTATTGTAAATATTTTATATTTTATAATATTCTCTTTATATATTTTATATTTTAGAGTATTCTCTTTGTAAACACCTATATATAAATTATTGTAAATATAATATTATTCAAAAAAGCAGTAAACTTTTCTTCAAATATTTCTTCTTTGTTCCTATTTCTAACATAGTATCAGAGTGATAAGCTCATGGTTCTTTTCTCCTATCATCGTTGTTTGGTTTTTGGAGTTGGATCTTTAATTCCATTCCAGATTTGAAACTTTGTCATTAGGTTTCCTCTTCCTATAGATTGGATTGTTTATCCTCGATTCTTAAGGTCTTTCTAAGGTATTTTGTTAGTTTGTTATTTCGATCTTAACATCTATTTCTTTATATTTTTTAGAGTTCTTTAGTATTGTGAGTTTTACTGATTCCATGATGAGTTTTGAAAGGACTATAACTCATCTTGCTACTGCTATGGTTGCCAAAGAAGTGATAGACCAACCTAATGTCAATCTTGAATCCCTAAAACAAGTGATATTAAATCTTTTTAATGCTCCTACTGCCTTGTCTACTGCTCCAAGTACCAACCTTGGTATTTTGATTTTGGTTGTTGTAACCATATACCTTTAATTACTACTCATTTTTTTTCAATGTCACCACATAATTCTTTTCTTGATATTTATTCTGCTAATGGTACCCCTATAAATGTTAGTCACATTGGCAATATTTCTACAAAATCATTGACTTTACCAAATACCTTCTTAGTACCAAAACTTAGTTATAATCTTCTATCTGTTGGTCAACTATGTGATCTTGGTCTTGAAGTAACATTTTCTGCTCATGGTTGTCATGTGCAGGACCCACGAACATGACAACTTCTTGGAACTGGTCGCAAGGTGGGGCGTTTGCTTGAGCTCAACTATCTGCATATTCCTAATAATAAAATTGATACACCATCATTTCCAAATGATCGATTCATCCAAACCTTACTTTGTGCTGTTGAATTAGAGTCTTTACAAATTCCATACCAACAAATTTTGCAAACCTGTTCTACTACTAATGTTTTGACTCTCCATTTGTGGCACTCACGGCTTGGACATACCTCAGTTGGTAAACTTCGTCCACTTATCTCTCGTGGTTTATTAGGATTAGTTCCAAATGAATCCTTGCATTGTGTGTCATGTCAATATGCAAAGCAATCAGCTTTATCTTTTTCAAGTAGTCATTCTCATTCTATTGCTCCTTTTGATCTTATGCATTCTGATATTTGGGGTCCATCTCCTACACCCACCATGGGGGGTTCCAGGTACTTCGTGTTATTTATTGATGATCATACTCATTTTACCTGGATATACCTTATGACAAATTGCTCTGAATTATCACAAATTTATATTGATTTTGCTACCATGGTAAAAACTCAATTATCTAAAATTATCAAAGTTTTGAGAACTGACAATACTATTAAATATCTTGGTACTAAACTTTAATCCTTTTTGAAAGAACAGGGAACACTAACACAACAATCTTGTCCCTATACTTTTTAACAAAATGGGCGGGCCGAATGCAAATACAGACACATCCTTGAATCTGTTTGTGCTCTACTCATTTCATCTTCTTGTCCAGAGCAATTTTAGGGTGAAGCTGCTCTTACAACTGTTTATCTTATTAATCGCATTCCATCATCAGTCCTTAATAACTAGTTTCCATACGAGCGTTTACATGGTATTCTTCCTGCCTATAATCTCCTTAAGGTTTTTGGTTGTGCATGTTTTGTTCTTTTTCCACCTCATGAACATAACAAGTTAGAGCCTAGAGCTCGATTATGTTGTTTTTTGGATTATAGGATTACACAAAAAGGATATCGTTGTTAAGATCCTATGTCACAAAAACTCCGAGTTTCATGTCATGTTGTCTTTTGGGAACACACTATGTTCTCATCGTTGTCAAACTTCAAAGTGTCATCCTCCATTTTTTACTAATTCTTCTATTGAGCTATTTCCTAGTGTTTCTGATGTAGATACATCTGATGAACTCTACAATGCCTGACCGCATGCTCCACCCAATTCTAGAAAAGATGATCTGCCTGCTGGTAATGTATTAGATAATTCTGAGCCTTCTTCTACTTCCTCCTTTATGTCACCTGTTGATATTGTTGAGTCTGCAAATGAGCTTGTTGTCCCATCCTCAAGTCATCCTACGTAGGTAAGAAACCCTCCCACCTACCTTCGTGATTATCATTGTTTTCCTGCTATTACTTCTTTACATGAGCCTCAATCCTATCAAGAGGCATCTTCTAACACTCTTTAGCAACAAGTTATGCAAGATGAATTACAAGCTCTTAAGAACACTTGTACATGGGATTTAGTTGATCTCCTTGTTGAAAAGTCTCTAATAGGCCGTAAATGGGTGTACAAGATCAAAACATGATCTGATGGTTTTGTGGAGCGTTGTAAGGCACGCTTGGTTGCCAAGGGTTTTACACAAGAGTATGGAATAGACTATGAGGAAACTTTTGCTCCAATTGCTTGTCTCACATCTGTGCACAATTTGCTTGCTATTGCTGCTATACAGAAATGGAAATTGTTTCAAATGGATGTGAAAAATGCTTTTCTTAATGGTAACCTAGAAGAAGAAGTTTATATGAAACCACCTCCTAGGCTCAATTGTCTTCCAAACAAGGTATGCAGATTGCGATGTGCATTATATGGGTTGAAACAATCCCTTTGAGCCTGGTATGCAAAGTTTGGTGCTACTATTTTCTAGGGCTTGAAGTCACCTCTTCCAATGATGGTTACTTGCTATCTCAAGTAAAGTATGCCTTTGATCTTGTTTCTAAAGCTGAACTCAATGATGATAAGAGTGTTTCTACACCTCTTGAACCTATTGTCAAGCTTCCACCTATGGATGACTCTCCACTTTTTTATCCTACTCAATATCGGCAATTGGTTGGTAGTCTAGTTTATCTTACCATGACACGCCCTGGTATAGCATATGCAGTTTACATCGTTAGTCAGTTTATGGTTGCTCCTCGCTCCACTCATTATGCAACAATACTTCGCATCATTCGCTATGTTAAAGGAACATTGTTTCATGAACTCCATTTTTCTACCAACTCTTCCCCTGTGCTTCGTGCTTACTCTAATGCTGATTGGGCTGGTGATCTTTCATATCGTAGATCTACCACTGGTTATTGTCTTTTCCTTAGTAATTCTCTTATCTCTTAGCAGAGTAAGAAACAAACTATTCCATCTTACTCTAGTACTGAAGCTGAGTATGAAGCTCTCAATGATACCACATCAGAACTTCTTTCATTACAATGGCTTCTTGAAGATATGGGTATTCCTCAACTTTCTTCTACTGATTTATATTGTGATAATCAAAATGCTATGCAAATTGCTCATAATGATGTCTTCCATGAATGCACTAAACATATTGAGATTGATTGTCACTTTGTTCGCCATCATGTTGCACAAGGAACTATTCATTTGGTTTTCATTAGCT